GAAAAGAAGAGGCTCTTTCCTAGGGTAACTGATGAAGCTATTTTGGGAAATTTGCATGTGTGGCAGATATGTAGGTGAGTCAGGCATAGTGGGTAAGCATATTTTGTTATATTCCATGGTTTTCATTTTATTTTGGGCTGTTAGACCCTATACTCATTTTTTGTCCTTGTGCAATAGTTTTTGGGTCATCCTGCCCTTACAAAATTAGTCAGAGAAATCTGTCACCACATCAATCTGATGGCTTCGGCTGGACCACATTGGCTCTCAGGTGACCTCAGGGAAACCTTCTCAGCTTTTACTCTCTCTGAATCTTTCCTCCTGCACTCTCAGATCAACTATATTGGATCTCTGGGATTAAGGTTTCTGTGTACAAATGCATATTTTGTTTCATAGGCTGTTGAAGATGGAGACTTAAGCTCTGTCCCCACCAAAGAAAGCAGGAAAGAATCAAGTGTTGGGCCCCTAAAAGAACTTAGGACTCCACAACTAAACCATGTCCCTTTCAGCCAAAGTTCATACTCCCAGGAGGATGACAGTAAGGGAGATATTTACGGCTCCCTACTTTGGCTCATTAGGCACGTTTTCCTTATGTTATTCCAACCTATAGTTCCTGATTTCCCTGCTGGACAGTGTTCTTGAAAGAAAGAAAAATGTTCCTGCTATTTCTCAAGTTACCGAGCAATAAGTCAGAGGAATGCTATCTTTTTCACTCATTCTCTGTAAACTCTCCTGACTACAGAGGTCTAATGTTCTTAATACCTGCTGCAAATCCTCCATTAAAATTTTCTTTAAAGTCTGGGGCCAGTAGATGCCGTGGTGGTTAAAGTGTTGGATTCCTATAAGGCTGATTGCAGTTCGAGTCCCAGACCTGGCAGCTTGTTTCTCTTTATCCCTCTCTCCCTTTCTCTGTTTATCTCTAGTCAAATTAGAGAAAATAGAAATAATTATAAGTAAAATAATTTTACAATGTTTTTTTCTTCAAAATCGAAGGCTGTGGAACTTGTCTTTCTCAGATACCTTAGAACTTCCAAATATTGAAAGCTGGTGATAATTCCAGGAAATTTCTTTCTATCCACTCTTTGACAAGAGAGTCAATTGTGCTCACACACTATAAAACCAGGATGTTTTGGACACAGCACATAGATTTTTTTTTTCTTGTAGCACAAGTTAAGAGTGATCAATTAATCCTTTACTTGTGAACTATCTGATCATAAACTCAATAAATTATGATGTGTTATGTAAGAGGAACTGAAGTTAAAATCCTATATGAATTTTTTTTTTGAGAGATTTTCACTGTAGGGCGCGTGCGCTTGCCAGACAGACAGAGAGAGACATAGAGACAGAAAGCGAGAAATCACCCCCCAGGGGGGATGGTCACGCCGCAATCCCTTCTCCTCCATTCTCCTCTTGGGATCTTGGGCACGCACGCACACGCGCCTGGCGTGAGTTTGAAGCCACCGGGTCCGGGACACGAACCACGGTCAACTACGTGGGAGTCCAGCGACATAGCCATTACGCTAACTGCTGGTTCCAAATCCTATATGATTTTTGACATTTTACTTTTACATGCCTCTATTCTAGGAGGTCATGCTATTAGCAAATACATTCTCCTTTTGCACTTCTGGCACTCCAAGAGTTAAGGTAGGAACTGAGTAAAGAGGTAGACTTGGAACTCAAACAAGATATTTCCTTGGAAAACAGCAGGTGGCAAAGTGGTTAAGGCACTGGACTGACACATGGCCAAAGGCAATCCCAATCCTGTACACAAGGGTGTGACTCTCATGCCTAGCACTTGTCTGCACTGTGCCCTAAGTTTCAAAAGAATGGAGAAGAGATTGCTGCATGGCCATCCCCCGGGGTGTGGGAGGGAGTGACTTCAGGCATTATATCTTGCTGTCTCTACTGAGTGCTCACATCCTGTTCAAAAGGTGTAATAAAAAATAGGGAATATAGCTGCTGGGAAAATTAGTTAGCTCTTTCATGAACTAATCACATTATTAAAGAAGGGTCTCATAATGAGGGTTTAGGATAAACAAATTAACATGGAAGAAATTTCACACCACTGTTTACAAAGCTCAGATATGAGTGGAAATCCAGGGGTGGGCTGGCCTGTCAGGGGAAAAAAAAAAAAAAAAGAGAAATTTCAGGTAATTGTATACTTTCTTATGGGGGTGGTTATGAAATCCTTATATCTTCAATAGCCACCCAATCCAGAGATGCTGGAGACCTCTTTTATGCAGATTAGAAGAATAGAAATTTGACTTTGAAGCTGAGTGTAGGAGCTGATGAGGTTTGGAAATCACCCTAGGTACAGTGATCGCCCTGGGCCCCAACATGGAACCCCACAGCAGGTTAGAGTGTCACTGCTCAGGTTAGCCCTTCATTCACTCTCATCCACACAAACACTGCACCACACCCCAGCAGGTAAATCCTCCTTCCAGCCGCCCAAGAACACACTGCCCCAACACACCTGGTATCTCCAATATTTACATCCTTCCCTTCTGTCAGGAGATCACTGGACACTTTGGATGCCCAAGAACACACATGGTGAATGTTCTCTGGACTTTTCTGTGTCAAGCCACCACAATCCATGGACTATTGCAGGCAAAGAGGGCCAATTGAGTTCCGGATTCTTTCCTTTTCCGGAGGACAGAAATCGGTCCTCAAGCTGTTCAAACGTAGAGCTTCATGTGCTAGAGATTGTCCCCATGGCCAGCCCAGGTGGAACCAGCTCTGCCATTGCCATCTCTTCCAGAAATCCCCAAGGAGGCTGAGAAAAGGGGCAAAGTCATGGGATGTGTCTGCCAGAACTGAAGTGATTGATTTTTTCTAGTATGCCAACTCGAAGGGGCTTTTCAGAATCTGATAGTAGGTAAAATCACTCCATCAATGAAAAATAAACTACAGGAAACCAGCAGTGGGCGTAATGGCTATGTCGTGGACTCCCATGTAGTCGACCACGGTTCGCGTCCCGGACCCAGTGGCTTAAAACTCACGCCGGGTGCGTGTGCGTGCATGCCCAAGATCCCAAGAGGAGAATGGAGGCGAAGGGATTGCGGCGTGACCATTCCCCCTGGAGGGTGATTTCTCGCTTTCTGTCTCTCTGTCTCTCTCTGTCTGTCTGGCGAGCACACGCCCCCTATAGCAAAAACCTCTCCACAAAAAAAAAAATTACAGCAGCTTCATGATATCTGAATCCTTGCCAGAGAACCTGGTTTCTGACAGAGTACTACTATAAATCTCAATTTATTAAGGAAACCCTTACACAAATACTCAGTTTTTTATAGACCCAATATGTCCAATCTAAGGAATTGTCTTGGTTCATGTGAGTATTATATAGTTTTGCATAGAAACAGCTAGTTGACACTTAAAATGAATCTCATGAAAAGGATTAGGTATGTTTCCCATATGTAAGCAATTACTAAGAAGACAGAAAACATGTGAATGTTACTAAGAAGACAGAAACATACCACTGTGATGGAATGTGTGTTTGTCAGTTATTATTCAATAACTGAAGCTCATCAGCCCTGGTTTCCTGCCTGAAGAGGAGCTACAAAAGACTGTAGACTGACAAATCCTTATGATATTTGAGAAGCATTTGGAGAACCAAGAGGATGGCCTAGTCATGATGGATTTGTAGACACTCAGTTATGACTGTGTGATTCTGGGTTTGTGTGTATTTGGGAGAGGGAAGACTCAGAGGGGGATGAGTCACTGCCGCTGGTACAACAGGAGAGGCTTATATAATTGAGAAAGTGCGCTCCTAGGGGGCATGGCCATTGTTGAGTTGGTGCATCAGTGGGGATCAGAAAGAGAATGACATGCTGGATGAAATGTTTAATTGAGCCAAGACATTCAAAAAAGTGAACACAAAGGGTGGTCAGTTGGTTTCTAACACTTTTATTTCACCCATGTAATAAAGATATTATACTAAAAATATAATTCACATTCCAGTAATAGACAGACTACATTCTGACCCAAGCCTCACTGTTAGCTTATGGGTCCAGTGTACATCTCAAAATTACCAGGAATGTCTCCATAAAAGAGCATGTGCATTACATGCAGATGGCTTGCATGTAGATTTCACAAGTTAGAGGTTCTAGAATAATGACATACATTTCAGTGATTAGAACGTATACTACAGTGTTCCAAGAACTAAAAGTCTCCTCAGCTCATAGATGTGACATTTACAAATCCAACTTCAGTCACACAGGTTGCTGAATTTCATCTCTGATCAGGTGGAGTCTATATCTATTATTTGCCAAAGGATACTGAGTCTGTGCCACACTTGACAGATTATAAATAGAGCTGCTGCTGATGTCCTTTGCCATCAGTGCTTCTCTCAGCAAAATTCTTATTTCTCTAGACCTCACTAGATCTCATAATGGGCAATGGGGTTAGTTTTGAAGTGTGCGTTTCCTATCAACCAAGAAGGAGATGGCTTCCTGGATTGGGTGTTCCATTGTGCATTTCCATGCCAATGCAGGAGACTTGTAGCTGCTGCACATTTTCTGACAACTTTGATGTGGTCAGTCATTCTCAGGTGCCTGTTCTCCTGTCCATGTGGTATGCCACAGGGTTGATATTTTGCATATTCTCCAGAGGAGACATGACAAACAAATATCAAACAAGTCTATAGTTCCCAGCTGGGAATGCGTCTGTTCAACACCGTCACCTGTTACATCTTAACAGGATGGTCTGTGTTTACCATGAGATATATGAGAGTTCTGTCTCTCTCTTGGCTGTCACTCTTTTGAGATTCAAGACACCTGCAAATACTGCCTCCCCCTACTGTGGGTTTGAACTTGCTTCTGTCATTGATCTGTGGCATGGAAATGGTGTGGGTGAGAGAACAGTTTTTCTCCACTCTCCTAGGTTCTGCAGCAGGGGTTTCCCTCAACTGTAAGAGCTGTCTTGAAGGGAGATAGCTCATCAGACATGGGTGTTCCTTTTTTAAATGGAACCATTTTGCAACAAGAGCAGTCAATTCAAGTCCTGCTCTATACATAGAAAAGTTGCCTTCGGGCCTTGCTAGGAGGATGGGGCCCAACTTTGTGGCATGTTCTGGGTCCTGGGCTGGGAGAGGGAGGCAGAGGTCTGAGGGCAGAGCCTGGCAGGGGCTGCAGGCCATGGAGATTCAAGCTGAACTCTTCAGGCAGAGGGCGATACCTGGGACTAAGCTTTTGCACCTCAGAAATGCCTCTGGGGCTAGTGGCTCTTGGTCGAGCTGTGAGGAAGAGGATATTAGCTGCAGAGAGCCTGATCCCATTCTCCTGTTTGGCTTGGGATCCCATCATGAGCTGGCGGCATTGGGAATCCTCTCCTGCCTCTTCTGCTTGTGGGCCCCATATGTTCTTTGCACCCTGAAATGTCAAAGATCCATCTTCAAGATCGATCACCCAGGTGATCTCAGGATCGTTGAGCAGCAGCCAGCGGGCCTTGGTAGGAAACCTGAGCCCCTGCGATGACCTGAGGATATACTCGGTAACAACCACAACGAGGACATCATTCAGTGTGAACTGCAGCGCCCTCTTTGGATCCAGTACGAGGACTTCAGCCCCCAGGCGTAGCTTCAGTACCATGGCTGCTTCCAAGACCACCACAATCATCTGGGGCTTGGGATTCTGCCCAACCTGGCGAAGAGAAAGCAGGGCTCAGTATCCTCAAAGAGACTCTTCAATGGACAGTGGGGCTCACTATAGATGAGTTCACAGATCCCATCCCCAACTCAGCATGGTCTCCCAGAAATAGCACTACAACCAGGCCCCATTCCAAAGCTCATCTCCTGGACAACTCTTGTGACCTAGAATGTAGGTGCCCATATCTAACTCCATACCCTCTGAGGACATACTCACCTGAGGAGGTTCCTGGGGCAGCCGATGATCAGACACAGGACGTTCGTGCATCCTTTCTGGTTGTACACCTGTGGGGACAGGAGGGAGTGCAGGTGAATGTCGAGTCAAGGGACTCCCATTAGGTTTGAAGGGTTGACCTGCAAATGTCCAAGGCCAGCACACATCTGCCCTGGAATACCTGCCCATCAATATCAAGGGAATCCCCACACATGGAAACAAATCATCTACTTCCCTCATGATTTCAACTGACCCAGGGTCCCCAGTAGACGGCTCAGCGGAGGGACCAGCAGTTAGCGTAATGGCTACATCACTGGACTCCCACGTAGTTGACCGCAGTTCGCGTTCGGGACCCGGTGGCTTAAAACTCACGCTGGGAGCTTGTGCGTTCATGCCCAAGATCCCGAGAGGAGGATGGAGGAGAA